AAGTACACCCTAGTTTGTGAGACCGAGACAGGTAAATTTGAAAATAAGAAAGGAAGAGGCAGAACACCTAAACTCAATGATACTGATGTTAAGTATCTTCGTTTATGCATCCTATGGGATAGAAGGAAGACTGCCACTGATCTCAACCATGAGATAAACGACTATGTACCAAATGACAGAAAAGTGTCCAAATCTACAGTATTAAGAGAACTCAACAAGAATGGAATATTTAGTTATGTAGCAGGTAATAAAACCTTTACTTCAATCTCCAAATATTGTCAAGAGACTGCAATTTGCTAAAAAGTACAAAACTGGACTGTTGATGATTGGAAAAGGGTGTTATGGATGGATGAGTCCAAGTTTGAAATATTTGGTTCAAAGCTTATGTTGTATGTCCGGTGGAAGAAAGGTGAAAGATACTTACCTCAATACATAGCACCTACTATGAAGCATGGGGGAGGCAGTGTGATGGTTTGGGGGTGTTTTTCTGCTGAGGAACAGGAGATATTTGCAAAATAATTGGAATAATGGACCAGTGCAAATACCATCGGATACTAATCCTTCATGGTATGTATATTATTTGTAAAGGATTCTACTACCAAGAAGATAATGACCCCAAACACTCATCCAACCTGTGCAGAAATTACTTAGCAAAGAAAGAAGCTGCTGGAGTCATTCAAATGATACAATGGCCCCCACAGAGTCCTGATCTCAACCCTATTGAGCAGATTTGGGATTTGATAGATCAAAAACTTGACAAATCAAAAGTTACTTCCAAAGAAACTTTCTGGGAGTGTATTAGAGACATTTGGGGAAAATATGATTAAATATTTTTCAACAATGCCTGAAAGACTGTCTGGAGTTATTAAAGCAAAAGGGGGAGACAAAATATTTACTGTTTGCTAAACTCAAGGACTTTCACTGAGTTTCTGTTGTACAAAATATGAAGATTATTAAAATAAATTTTCACTTATGATTTACCTTCCATTGTTCTTTGAAAGTAGCCTGAAATCTAGTGTTTGACTTTGTCCTAACACTTTTGCACAGTACTGTATATACTAGTAGAAATACCTGTTCTCCGAGCAGGTATAACTGCTAGTTCCTGCAGAAGCCTATTGGGCCTGTGGCCTTTTCTGGAATTGTCTGACAGTTCTACTACAGTGTACTCATAGTTGACATTCAATAATGTTTACCATCCATGAGATAAATGATTTTATTGAAATTTTAGTTTAAAAATGATCTATCAAATAGCATTACACCACAGAGTAGATTTTATTGAGTATTTCTTTGTAGATGCAGTCATCAATGAAAGTGCCTTGTTTTTATTTGTTTTTCTTTAGTGAAAATCTCATGAGTGTTGCAACAGATTTTTTTAAGTTTGTTTTTTGATTGTTTTTATATTTGAAACTTACTCCTTTTTGTTTGAAATTTTTATTGGTTAAATCTGAAACATATCATTTTTGTGGAAATTTCAATTGCTTTATTTATCGCTCAGCTATAGAAATACTACCTAGTTATATAAGTATTACCCAGTTATGATTGGTGATGATCGGTGTGGTAGTTTTGAGATCCGAGTTTTGGATGTATACATCACAAGCTTCATTATAATAAGATATATATATCAGTATACGCATTGAGTAAAATAAACTCATGTTTTTTTTCTTCTATTTATGCTATGTTTCAAGGTTTTATTTTTTTCTGTTACAGAATCCCATATCTTAAAGCCTTCTTCTTTCTTCACAGGGTAAGTGTTGGTTGTATTTTTATTATGTACTATATGTAGTTGTATTTTCTTCAATTGTAAGTTGTTATATTACAAGGATAGGACATGAGACCTAACACTTTGTACAGTTATCAGTCAGTAAGTTATGTTCTTGCATGGTTAAAGTCCTATGAAAATGTTAAATGAATAATTCCATTTTGCTGAGTACTAAATAAATACCACTTTTCTTACCACATTTTTAAATTATCTTACTCAAACAGTAGATACTACTAAATATGATGTAAGGTACTTCATAATTGTACTTTTTTTTTTCTTCTCTAAGTGTAGTCCATCTCTTTCGTACATATTCTTCAGCCATAAATACTTTCAACTTTTGGTTTTTACCCTCTCATTTAATGAAAAATTATATTTTTTAAATCACAGTACACTCTATCCTGAATATAAAAAAAATTTAAATGGCCTATTGAAATTGAAGATGCAGTCTTATTCCTCTCATGTGGCCTAAAGAACTCAAGCCCTATGAATTATATTGTCTTTACCAGTAGCTTATTCTCTAACAGACAAAGGCCCAGCATGGCCAGGAGGTTGGGGAGCTCAACTCGCAATTTGCGGGTTGCAGGTTCAAATCCCTGGTCCACCAAACATGCTTGCCCTTTCAGCTTTGGGGGCATTATAATGTGATGGTCAATCTCACTATTTGTTTGTAAAAGAGTAGCCCAAGAGTTGGCAGTGGGTGGTGATGACTAGTTGCCTTCCCTCTAGTCTTACACTGCTAAATTAGGATGGTTAGCGCAGATAGCTCTCGTAGCTTTCCACGAAAATTCAATATAAACAAACTGACAGACAACCAGTAGATTCACACATTCTATTTTGAAGATCCACTTATTTCATTAAGCTTCATTAGAAAACCAAGAGCTTCACATTATCCACTGAGACTATTTACTTTTGTTAGACCTTAGTGAACAACTGGTATCTTCACTCATTCTTTTTCAGAGATCCACTTGCTTCAGTAGGTTTTTTATTTAACAAGCATTAGCCTCATACATTTTGTTTGGAGACCAAATTGCTTTGTTGGAGGTCAGTAGACAACTTGTGGCTTCACAAATTCTTTTCTGGAGATTCATTTACTTTAGTAGACTTTGGCAAACCACATTAGTTCCAATACAATATATTGCCTCATCTCACAAATAGCTTTTCTCCATGTATACTGCCCTCTATATGTTCAAATTTTTGCTTGCAACTAACCTTCATACTCACACCTACCTTCACATGTATTCATGTGAGACATCTGGATGCTATCATGCAAATGATAATGCAGCAACCTTCCATCAATAGGAGTGCGACACAACTCCTGTTGTCACAAGTGCCCTCTCTTTTGTGCGATACATTAATCACCTCTTGATTAGCAGTCATTCTGCTAGGACATGTTTTCAATCTCCCACTTGGATGTGTCTTCTGTTTTCTGCCCATATATGCAATATCTTTCCACAATGGGTGAAGAGTATACCTGGTTCAAATGTGTTGTGGTCGAGCGCCCTAACCACCTGGCCATGCCGGGCCACTCGGAAGTAAAAATTTTCCTATATTGAAAATGTATTTCCGATAGGTACTTACCTCCTTTCACACTTCCCACCTTTTCTCCACACTGAAAACCAGTGCTTCAATTTTCTGCCAAAACTCGAAGTTATAGTTAGGTAGAATTGAATAGAGGGAGTCTCATGCCTGAAAAGAGTATGTCACACTCTTATTGGTGGAGGGTTGTCACATGATGAGTTGCATGAGAGACATTGGAATTAGTCAATTCCAAAAAAGGCTTGTGGCATGCATAAAAAAATATTTTTGCATATAGAGGGCAGCACTAAACAAGAATAGCTATTTATATGAAAGGAGGTAAGTACCTATCAGAAATACATTTTCAGTATAGGAAAATTATAACATTCATACATTTCTTATCAATTGAATAATCAAACTGTTGTTATTTTTTAACTTGTAATCAGCAATTTGTCTTCATATTACATTTAATTTTCCTTTTGTCCATGAAGTATCTCATTGATTTATTACTCATCCTGCCACTATCTTTTTAAGCCTGTGCCGTGTTGCATTACACACCTGAAAAAACAAAAACAAAATTCCTACAAAATCATAAAGTGGAGGCAAATGTCTACAACTTATGGTTGCCACTGTAAAACATGAGAAAATTTCAAAATTTTGCACAAACTTTCATTTCAGTCTGCATTCACAGACAGACAAATTAGGTACTGATTGATGCTAATCAACAGGGAAAATGTATCAGTTTATTTTGACATTTTAAAATGTGAAAGTAATATTTAAGAAGATCAAAAGTATAAATTGGGAATAACTGAGAACATGGTATTAAGATAAAGAAAATATCAGCATAAAGCTCAGTCTCACCTTAATAAATATGGTAATTCTGAGACAACCTGGTAGTAATGAAACCGACATTGACACCTCATGTGGATGATGAGAAGTAGCCCCTAATGTAGAAGAAGTTGCACAAAACCATCATGAAAGCTGTCAGAATGTCTGTAGCAATGTGTGGCAGTGCCTAATTTATACATATATATCAGGAAAGTTATTGCATTTTTTTTTTACTTTAATGTTGACTACATGTAGCACTTTCATCTGAAAAATTGTTTGTTTTTATCTCACATGGGCTCCTTTTAGACATCTATTAAACTTTTCAACTTCTCTATACATTCTTTTTTTTAAGAAATATAATTTTTAACTTGTTTGATCCACAAGTAACATGTTTTATATAATGTAATATTGTTTTGAGGAAAACCAGTCTTATGTTTGATTTAAATTAAGAAAATTAGTTTAAATACTGAGTAGAATATATGCACAACAAATAGTTGTTTGGTCATTTGGTAGTCAACTATGAGACTATAAAAGTAGCTTAGAACATGACTCAGGTATGATTAAGAAATTAAAATATAGCCACTTGAGTTTGCATATATGTGTGATTATATGTTAAGCTTGACTTAGGGGTGTATTTAGGTTTCCTTTTTTAACAGGTTTTTTAAATGTGTTTTTGAAATCATGCTAGTTTGTTTTGTATTTGCCAGTTATAAATTTAAATCTAATGTATTCATTAAAAGCATGTCTGTTAAACCAAACTAAATATTAGCTGCAAAAGATTAAAGGACAGTTTTAAAAAGTAGCTTTTATTCCATGAATGTATTTATATTATATTTTCTGTGCTTTTTCATGGCGTGTACAATCGTTGTATTTCTGTGCAGACAGTTTACCAGTATAGACAAAGGAGAAAGTAAAACAGTGGAATTGGAAGAAAGGGTACTTAGGACTGTAAAAGGTCTGCTATATACACATATGCACTGTCACTGTGCAGTGATATTATACTTTGTTTCTTGTTTTACATGTGTAAATCTAATAATAATGAAACTTTTACACTTTGTTGGATTAATTGTGTACGTCTCTATCTTATCAACAGCAAAAGATGGTGTGGTTTTTAGCTACCTTGCTTTCAGACATAAATATTATGCATTATATAATCCTTGATTTCAGCTCAACCTAGCCTTTAGTCATTCATTTTAACTTGCTATAAAATCCTTTATTTCAGCTAAACCTATTCTTCAGTCATCCATTTTATCTTCAATAACATCCTTGATTTAAAATGAACCTGTCATTCATTTTCACTTTGCCATCATATCCTTTATTTCAACTGAACCTATCCTTTATCATCCATTTTATTTTTCATATTTGATTTCAGATGAACCTATCCTTCATCATCCATTTTATCTGCCATAACATCCTTGATTTCAGCTGCAGCTATTTTTCATCATCCATTTTAACCTATCGTAACATTCTTAATTATTAGCTAAACCTATCCTTCAGTCATTCATTTTAACTTGCCATAACATTTTTAATTATCAGTTAAACCTATCCTTCAGTCATTCATTTTACCTTCCATAACATCATTGATTTCCACTGAACCTATCCTTCATCATCCAATTTAACCTACCAGATCATCCTTGATTTCAGCTAAGTCTTCCTTCAGTCATCAGTTCTTTCCCGTGATATCAGTTTTTATATTTTGAAATTATTCATATCTTGTTTTTCAAACTATAAAATTTGGTTGGTGAATTCAACCTTAGCTTATTCAAAGAATTACTCAATATATAGCTTCAAATATGAAACTAAAATATCCAAAGAAATTAATGCCTTAAAAATAAATAAGAAATTGCATTTTTTTTATTTGCAAAAAAAAACATTAATCGTGATATATATATATATATATATTTCATTTAACTTAGTTGAGCTAGTATTTCACATATTTACAATATCACGAAAAGAAGAGCTTGCTTAGAATTTAATTAATAAACAATTAAGTTGTTAAACTGTACTTTTTTGTTACCATGTCCAGGTTTTGAGTAATAAAGAGGGCTTAAATGTGACTAACTTTTTAGTGTTTGTTTTCAGGGTTTTCAAAAGAAGAAACAGTTAAGATTCTATATGAAGAAATTGGTTATAACCAGGTATGATGTATACATTGTTAACAGTACATTTTGGCTTATAATTAATTGTATATTTATTTAATAACTGCAGTCATGTTTTGTGCATCATATTATTATTATTATTATTATATGATTAAAGGTAAATACTAAAAATGTCTGAAATATTATTAATTTCTAATCTTTTTGTTGTTGTTGTTATGCAATGATTTGAGCATTGGTGATAATTTACCATTTTGGCTTATAATTAATTGTATATTTATTTAATAACTGCAGTCATGTTTTGTGCATAATATTATTATTATATGATTAAAGGTAAATACTAAAAATGTCTGAAATATTATTAATTTTTAATCTTTTTGTTGTTGTTGTTATGCAATGATTTGAGCATTGGTGATAATTTACAGTGTATTTGTTCTGTTGTTTCCCAGCTACTTAAACCTTTCAAAATTCTTATCATTGAAAGGCCTCTTGATCCTGTATTTCATGCATGTAAAGATGATGTAAGTATATATGAGATTGGTTACTCTTTTAGATGGAGTTGAAATGTTTACAGATTTGGTGTTTTTAGTGTTAATGTTACAACTGGATGTCAAGAACTTAGCTAACATTTTTGTCTAAAGTTGGTGTATGTATCATAGCCTGTATATTTTGAAATTAAAAGCATGTTTTCAAGTGATGGTGTTCGTTTTTTGATATGAGGTTTAATAAGGATGAGCTTAAAATTGATGAAATATATTTTTTGTTTTATATAAAACTAGCAAAGGTACTTGACAATGCTGAGCATAAAAAATATTGCAGTAAATGTTTACAAAAAAGATAAAGAAAGTCAAGTTTAAAAAATTATTATGAAATATATAAATATCTTTTGAACTTCACTTTTGAAATAATGATTGAAGGATACACATAAAATTGTATGTTTTACATGCACAGTATTATTGCAGTAAAAAAACAACAATAGTGAAATTTGTGAAGGTTTTAATTATGCTAAAGTATCGCTGTTAGGACCGAAGTTTGATACTTGCCTCTGTATTTTAAACTTATACTGGAAATGAAACAGCTTTTTAATACCTTATTTTTTACATCACATTCATTGATTACTGTTAGTTATCAGTAATAATTTAAAATTTATTATAATGAAGTATTTGAATGTCTTCAAGCTAGATAATATTAATAACTTTTAATAATTCTAGTAATTTAAAAGAATTTCAAATGTCAAAAAATAATGTTTTCAAAATATGTTAAGGATAAGAGTTGCTTTTTGTTTTTCAAGATATTTTTACATTAAAAATAACATCAGAAACTTGAACACTTCATTATTAGTTTTATTTTTTGAGAAAAGAAACAAGAAGCAAACAAGCTGATGAATAGCACTAGTGAAGAGCGGACATCCTTCTCAGAGTAAGTATTTTTAAATAACTAAGGGTGTTTTTTCATCATCTTGAAATTTGAAAATAAAAAAGTACTGAGTTGGATTTAAAAATGAAATTCATCTTGCAAACCAAAAACGTTTCTGTTAATAGGTTTTAAAAGTTTAAGAAGATGAGATGGTAAGATGTATTCATCAAATGACATATTACATTTAAGAATTCACATAGTTGCTATTCTTAAGGTTAAAATAATTTATATATTATTGATATTGAGGTTGTAAAAATGATACATGGCATATAATGAGGTTCACATTAAATTTCAGTGAATAATTTTTTTATTCCCAAAAAGAACAAGTTGAGCACTAGTGAAAAGAACTAAGCATAAAAGAGACTCACTATGAACAGCTTATACTGGTTTATGTATGCATTAGTGTTGGATGTAAGGACACATCTCTCAAGAATTAACCTTACTAGTAAACAATTCTGAAACATTGGCTTTAAAGTTTTATAAATGAGTTGGATGTAAACTTGGAAATCAAGGGTACTGCTGCAACCTGAGTCATATGGATTGTACTGCATTGTAGCATGTGCAGTAACAGTTCAATCATTTTGTATACCTTTACATATGTAATTCTGTTGTATATGTGAGTAATGGAAAGTGGTGATGCTCTGAATCCTGTGAATCATTTCATATGACATCATAACTGAATATTAATACAGTGATTATAGCATGTGACACTGCTAAATTCACTGTGTAGTCTTTAACTAAAACTAGTATTTAGTACTCTTTCACTACAAAAGAGATTTTGAAGATTGCATTTACTTGGATTTTATTCACCATGTGATGTTAAAGCTAGATATATATATATATGGATGTCAAATCATGGATGGAGGTGTAGATTTCTGCCTTGGTGAAACAATTCCATATAATTCATTGCTATGTGTTTGTCATAAAAGTACAATTAATACCACGAAATAATTATTTCATTAATTTGAAAATTAATTTTGGTAGTTTGTATTAAAAATGCATACTTGATGTATATGTTGGCATCCATGTACGTTAATGAACAATAGTTCTGTAAGGAACTGTTAAACAATATTACAAAATGGATTTGACATGATGTGTATAAATCACCTACAAATGATATTTTACTAGTATTTATCAACCAAAAGCTTATTTGGGCAACTGAGTGTTAGAATTTTGGAATAATGACTTCAGACTATAACCCATAGGCCTTATGGAAAATAAATATTTGTAACAAGCGAAAAAACAACGAATATTTGCTATACGAACAGTTATGAAACCAAAAAAACTGAGAGTAACTTAATTCTTGATTTGATAGAACACATGACAAATATTTTCTATCTTGATAATGGTATACATTGTTCCCCATTATACACATCTGTTTGTGAATCATGAATATAAATAATAATTCATGTGAAAAACATCATGTTTGTATGTATATTGCATGCTCAAAAAATACATAACCATTACGTAACATAAATATTCACGTACACTCATGTATCCGGAAATATCAGTATCCAAAGATGTTTGTATAATTGCATTTATGTAGTGTTATAATTTTAGATCATTTGTTCTATTTATAATCAAACGGTGTCTAAGTGACTATATAATTCTTGTCTTTCAGTATAAGGTCATACTTTAAGTCATGTCCAGGTCCAGACAGAATCTTCAGGGAACTTTTCAATATTCCATGGAAATTATTATTTTATGTAAAAGGCTATATTGTTTTATGAATAACAAAGAATAAGAGATATTCTGGAATGTACATATTTGGTGCTTATTAACCTCTGTAACAAAAAGTTAAATTTGTCCATAAGATTGAAATTTTCAACTGTAAAATACTTAGTAAAATTTTAGTAAGATAACACATTTTTAAAGCCTGTACATGCCACACTTTAGTGTAATTAGGGCACTTGTAAGTTCTTTTTGAAAATGAAACTATTTCAAAATATGCTATCTCTGCAAAAATTATTAAATTTTACTCAATAAATAAAGGAGAAATGATAATAGAAAATGGCATACAACACTATCTAAGTGTGATGATACGTAGATCTTTAAACAATGCAGTAGGAACATCTATATAGGAAATGTATTTGCCTGTGAACACTAAAAACAAACCTTAGTTTTACACCTTCAAAGAAAAACTAACACCTGAACAAAGACACTTTAATTATGAATAAGTATTTTCAGTCCTGGAAATTCATGGAAATGTGAAGTATGTTTGTTCATAATGGATAATACATCCTATACCATGATCAGCTGAGTATTACAGTTTCCAGCTGTATTAGTTCTCATCTGCCCAGCTAAATCGATGATAGAGAAAGTTATATCTACTGTGTAATCATTAGTTAGAAACCAGCATTCCACTGAAGCATAGTTATAGATGTCCAGTAATAGAAGTAAGCAAATCAGTGTTATTGAAATTCAACAAGTTTATAGACTGAGGAGAAGTAGAATTGTTTTTATTTTTGCTGATTTATTATTAACTTTGGCTTAGCAATATCAAATTTTTAAAGCTTTAATCACTGCATGTTTTAAGCTCTACTAAGTATAACAGAGTTGATAGCAGCATTACATTTTGTTCATATATGCTATTTAGTGATTGACAAGTTCTCAGGTTTTCTAGAAATGTGGTCTATTATATAGGTATATAAATATCTTGTGATAAGTCTCACATATTATTCCATTTAGCAATAACATCAGCGTTTATAGATGACAAATGACTGCATTTTTTTAGGAATGATATACTTGAAATTTGTTTTTTATTCTTACCACAAATGTAAAAATGAATCTAAGTTGAAACTATGTATGATCTCTGCACAAAATAGAAACATAGTTTACATAGTGTGATTATTTTATGTATAGTACCACCACAATAGTTTTTTATTTTTTTAACTATATCAAGCTTTACAGCTTTGGAAGTAGCAAGTTTTCTTAATGTTTTTTCTGATTATAAAACATTTGTTAAATTCATTAACATTTGAAAACATTTCTTTATACAAATTATTTCTTCGTGTAATAGAGAATATCTCTCCACAATTCATAAAAATTATCAAACTTAGCATATAGTCACGAAAAAAGTCACTATAAAAATACACCATACTAGAAAAATAAACTATATTAATGTTCTTATTCATCTGTAATCTTTGTATTTTGTGTCATTTACTGTTTATGTTGTGCAGGAATTAACTGATTTAATTTTTGGTTGAAAAATAGTGTGCCTTCAACATTCTTAAAGCAATCAAAAATGATTTGGACATTTTTGCAACCATTGCCTTTCATGATAGATAAAGAACAAGTTAGACATAGCAGGCACAAGTTTTGATTTGGTATTGATCCTATTAGCCTCATCATAAATCAAATCATTAAACATTTAAAAGCAGTTTTGTTGGTAATAAATTCACTAAACATGATGGAAAAGAAGAACCAAACACATAAATCAATGGTTTCTTGAAACTGAATATTGATATAGAGAGAAACTACATTAAAACTGGCTGTATACACCTTTTTTGTTAAATTTTATATTTTGCAAGGAATTTGAAAACTCAAAACTGATTTTAATCATTAAATCATTGCTTGTATATTTGTAAAAGTACTTCCCAAAAAACTTGACAACCTATGATTGTAAATGGTAATATTAGAAACTGTTAGAACTTAAATCACAATTCGGTTTGGAAGTTTGAGGAAAACCATAAGTTCTTACAACATAAAATCCAACTGGTCTTATTTAATTATAAATGAATACAAGGCAATAATACTGATATAGGTTCTCAAAGTATGAAACTTTTGATGGACAATAAAAATTTACATTTGTGGTCTTGCTTTATTTTCTTTTTATGATTATAATTTCAGAAAATATTTACAATTTATGGCAAAAAAGAACATAACACTCTTATCAGTCTTGAAAAACACAATAATTAAGTATAAGAAAAACAAATAAAATAGTAGCTTTAAACATAATTAACTATATTAGCAAGATTAACCACATATCAAAGGACAGCAAATAATTATCTAAAGTTAAGAAAATCCAACACTTAAAAGAGAAACTTATAAAAGTATCTATTACAAGTAAAACAAATATTATATTAGACAATGTATATACAGAAATACTCCAGTTGACTCTCATGCTGGAATAATGTATGCTTTGCTGGAAATTAATAGATTGTATTGTTCAATAAAACTGAAGTTGTGATATTTCTACTTACAATTGTAAGTTTAAGATTTCTTAGTAGAATTCCTTAAGTACAAATATATATATATATATATATATATATGTAATCAGGCCCTCTAGGGAACTTTTTAAACCTGTAAGGACTATTTTTCAGGTAGCCCAACCTTTAAAACCTGTAAGAACTATTTTTCAGGTAGCCCAACCTTTAAAACCTTTACCTTCTTCAAATAGCTTATAAAAACCTTTATTCTGACATGTTGGACCTTTATTTTGTTAAATTGAAGAGTTCTATGGTGCAAAATATTCTAATTCTCTCAGCAGGACATACAAACACCCATGTGTTTCATATACTCATAGAGTATGTATTTGTTATTTCGTAGATTTACATCCTTCGATGGCTCAGTAGTAAGTTTGAAAACTTATAATGCTAAAAACGAGGTTTTGATACCTGTGGTGGGCACGGCACAGATCACCCATTGTATAACTTTTCACTTAACAGCAAAACAAATAAACAATAAATAAATGCATGACATATATTTTTAGTCTAATGTCATGCATTACTTTTACATACATGTCATTTAAAATATTTGTAAATTATTTTTCAACTATCTGTAGACATGACTCAACTGCCACATCACCCCATAAGCTAGAAAAAAAGAAATAAATGTGTGTTTTAGGTATGATGGTATAGAAAATAACTAAACACAAGCAGTTTTAAAATTCTAACTTGAAAGGGACAGTAGAGTAGGAACTTGGCAGTTTACCATGATTTATCATAAAATTTTCATATGTAGTTATGTAACTATAAAACATATTTAGAATGAATAATAATACGATGCGTGACATTAGAATAATAAACATGTATATCTACCAAACTACAAACAGATACATGTCCTGTTGATTGTTTCCTGTGTTGATAATATGAAATGTATCAATGAAGAATAACATATTTAACAAACAATTGGCTAGGAGCCCAGAAGCTATGAATTTATAGTTAAAGACAGTTTTCAGCATTTCTTAATTATTTGCAGATTTGATATAGAATCTTTATACACCAGTATTTGGTTGCAAGAATCTTGATTTTTGTACCAAGTTATTGTTTATCTTCAGATATCATGAATGTATTGTCTGTTAATGAATGTTGTTTTTTTTCTAAATTAATGTCATTTATGCCCATAATTGCATTTGATGTTTAATGATTTGATTTATGATCAGGTTAATCAGGTCAGTATGGGATAAAAGTTTGAGTCTGTTATGGTTAATCTGTTCATATGCTAGTATGAAAAAACTGGTTGGAAAAATGTTATATTGATTTTAAACCACTTCAGATAGTATGTTGATGACAAATTTTCTGTTTTCAGTTTCACGGTTCTGCAGTATCTAAACAATAAACATCCAGACATAAGAATTACAACTGAATATGAATGAATCTAGGTTATTTTTTTTCTTAAGTACATAATCAGCAAAGAAAGTTTAATTGTTGTATGTCATTAAATGACATTTTTAGGGTTATATACTTATTTTTGATAGTTTTCTTCCTACAACATATAAAGCTCATTAGTGAAAGTTCTTGTAACATGCTTTAATACAGGATTTTAAATAATCATTCTTTGCTGCATTTGCATGAATAAATAACAACCACTAAGAAATTATTGAAACTTATAAATTTAACAAATACTTTATTAATAGGAATATCTGTAAAATGTTGAAAAAACTGACTATCCACAAAATTTTAAGTTTGGTGTACGCAAGAAACCAATCATAATAATGTTACCACATGTATGAATAGTCAACAGCCACAAAACATTAAGAAAATTAATTATTATAGCTTTAATTTACAAATTTGGAAACCCAGTAAGAAATAGATAAATCCAGTGCCTAACCGAGTAATGTAAGTTTTATTGTTTTGACAATCTCAACTGGGAGTCTTGGCCTAATGAATTTCTCTTTGCTTGCAAACTTGTATCTCATTTAAAAATATGCCTTTGATACCACCATACCATAGAACAGCTTTCACTAATAGCAGCATGAGAAACAGAGTGTGTGTAGGTGCAATACTGAAACTTAGAAAATGATGGAATTGCTGTGGGTTCAAAAATGATAATTTAAATCTCTTATAATAATTTCAGTGCTGAGTATTTTTAGATGCCCAATTTGAATATGTAAGCCATCTTTTTACATAATGCAAGCTATTTGGACACTATAATTTTCAAACACTGAGGTTTTTTTATCCTTTTGCAAAAACAAGGAATTTGTTTAATTTTTAAGAATGAAAAAAAGTGATAATTTGTAATCTCTAAATTTTCATGTCCTAGCTGTGTGGAAGAGAATGTGGGATTAGGTGAATATCCAACTATATAAAAGATCCAATTCCTAGAAGTTCTAAGTGCTTATCAAGTATTGCATGGCACTTGTGGGTGAAATAATGTGTCTCCGTCACAGTTCGCAACATTGTAATAGTAACTAACAGCAGTTTGGGTAGTTGCTAAACTCAAGATGAATTTAAATTGGTACTATTTAGTACTTCTGCTTCTTCTCCTCAGATTGTTTGTTTGTTTGTTCCATTTTAATATCTTCATAGCAATGTTTACAAAGTTATTTTTAGGGACTTGAAAAGGTTTTTAATTGTAAAAAAAGAAAAAAATTCTGATGCTTTCCTGTTAATACATAATTGATTTAAAATTGTAATGGGAAGTTCTAGATATTACAAAATAGATAAAAGTTTACTGATGAACAACAGAATGATGACAGCAACAACAGACATTTGATGTGTGTGTGTGTGTGTGTACAGTAACAAACATTTAATTTTTGAACATTTCAGAATATACATATTCCATCTTCAGCAAGCTATATTGAACAGGGTAAATTATTAGGTACAAAAATATGATAAAGTTTAAGTATTTTGTAAAAAGTAATTAAAATACAGTATAAAAGGATGAAATAAATTAAAAGACAACCAAATAAATAAAGAATAGGATAATGCATTAATATTACACAAGTATTCAGAACAAACTTAATTGTGGCATATGATCCTAGAATGCATAGGGGTAGGTAATGGGTCTTTAGATCTGAATAGATTTTATATTTTGAAAGATGATTTAAATATCATTTATAGTTGAATTTGTGGATAAAACATTTTAATTATTTTTAAAATTTGTGACTTCATTATAAAACTTTGCTCACCTAAAAAGGAAACAATCAGTCTTAATGGGTATTTATTAATAGTGTATGGTTCCTTTGGGGGTTCAAACTTGTGAGAAAGGAACTTGCGTGTTAGGGCTTGAATAAAATGCGGGGAATAGCCATTGTTTATTAAAATGCTCTGTAAGTTGGTGATTTTGGGGTGAAGAGAGTAGTTAGAACAGATGTTATATGTTCTATCGAGAAGACTGAGTATAAGGTTACATTTAAAGGAATTCAGAATAAAACTGTTAAATAGAGTATGTAAGCCTGTATATGTTTTATTTTATGATAAACAGAAGTTGTGAAATTATTATGTAATCTGCCGATTTGGATATCAAGAAAAGTAATTTACCATTTTTTTCACTTTTGCAAATAAAATTAATGTTAGAGTGTTTCGAATTTAAATAATCCAAAAATTGTTTGATGTGAGTAGAGCTTTGAAAGAGTAAAAACATATTGTCAACATGCCTTCTATATAGAGCTGGTTTGTATTCAGTGGGACAGGTGTTTAACCAAGAATGTTCATAGTGACAAAGGACTATGTTTGCGAGAGTCGGCCATAAAGGTGACCCCATTGATACGGTATCTATTTGGTCATATAGCTGACCATTGAAGACAAAGTGATTATTCTTGAGGGCAAGGTTAAGTAATTCTTCAAACTGTTGGTGGTTAAAGCTTTTGAGTGTTTCATTTTTGTTAGGGAAAAGTTTCTTTTAAGATTATTTGTATTGTTTCCTAGAGAGGAATGTTTGTGAATAAAGATTCAATGTCAAAACTAGCAAGTAAATATTGATCAGCATTATTAATTTTAGAATTTTCTTATGCAAAGGAAAAGGAATCTTTAATTGTAAACTCATTGGAAATGAATGAATTTAGAATAATAACAAAGATTTTAGCCAATTGATAAGTATGAGAAACAATGCTGGATAAAACAGACCTTAAGGGCATTTTATATTTGTGAACTTTAGGTGACTCATCTATGAGACCTGGGTGGGAGCCTGAGGTTTCAAAAACCTCAAGAACATTTTCTGGAATGTCATTGCAATATTTATAATTTCTTAAGGTTCATTGTATTTTCTCTTCATGTTTTATGGTAAGCTTTAGCCAATCAACATTGAGAATTTTGTTTTATTGCTGAGTATACATTGCATTTTGTAATTTGTAATATCAAGTATAACAACACCTGTACCAGGTTGGATGGTGGTGATATTTTTGTTATTAGCTAACTCCTTTAGGGCAATATATTCTTCATGAGTAATGGTGGAAGCAGATTTATGGAAGTTGTAGTTGTAAAATGAAGACAAAGCAGCATTTTTGAATCTTGTTTTTACAAAGTTTTCTAGGTTATGGGAACCATTCCTGTTGAATATAGATTGAGATTTCTAAGTTTTATAAGTGGTCTCAAAGTGCAGCAGATAATTGGAGACTTTAAGTTTATGGGGAGGTAAGCAGAACTTTAGGCCCCTAGCTATTGCACTTTTACAGGGTTCACTGAGTACAACACCACTAATGTTAAAAGTCACTTATTAAACCTGTTGCTCAGAATATTATGACTGAGAAGTTAAAATCAATATTAATTTGATAGAAAAAAATCTAAATAATAAAGGCAGAAAAGATATTTAAACTTCTATCAGATTACACTAAATCTTTTATGCTACCAACAATTGCTTTTAACCACTGTCATTTTTTTTTCTTTTTAGGAACAGTTTCTCCTCGAAAATTATTTTTCAAAAGCTATTTAAGGTTTTTTGTAGTATAAATGTTTTGTTGTATGCATTTTACAGGTGTCAAGTATTTCTAGAAAACTTTCCCTGCCATGGTAAAGCTCTCAAAATGCTGAAGAAGAAACTTTATCAGTTCACTAATAACTACATGTTACTTCCTCAGTATCTACATGATGCCGCTGACAGGCTACAAGACATAATCTCAATAGGAGTTACAGTATGTCACATGTTTATGTTTATGTAATATCATTTAGTATCATGCAATAGTATCTGTAACAAATATTGTTTATGTAGATATTTGGACCAGGTGTAGCCTAATGCTTATAGTGGTGGACTGAATTTTGAGGGTAAATGGGTTGCATTCCAATGACATTACACTATGGGGTCTGGGTGCAATATGAGAATGGTGGTCAAACCCCACTATTATATTAGAGTAGCACAAAAATTAGTGGTGGTTGCTGTTGACTTGCTACCTTCCCTCTAATCTATTAGGTCAAAGTTAGGGATGGCATGTACAGACAGTTCTTGTGGAGCTTTGCATAAATATCCAAAACAAACAAACAACAATTTGGAAAGTTATTAATACAAAAAATTGTGTTTGATTGGATTTGGATATGCATATTTGCATTTAATACATTAGAAAATGGTTAATTTAGAAAAGGTCTGTTTTAGAGATGTAATGTATAGTGTTTTGACTGAATATTAGATAACGAATATCCAGACAGTTGATGCATTTATTTAAACAGTCTCGTTAGTTTCACAGAACACTAAAAACAATATTAGGTATATATAGATACAGTAATGGAAATAATTATGGAAACACACATGATACTCTTGTAGGAATCACAAACAAGAGGAATGGTAACTAGATGGTGAATTTATTAATATTACGAAATATTATCACAGAAAATACAAAAGAAAAATTAATAAGTTGTACAGTGCTGTAATGTTTTGTATGTGAGCCCTTTGCTTTATACAGATCATTACACCATATTCTTATGCTGCCATACAATTTAACAATGTGTTATAAGCTATATTTTTAATGTTGTAATTTTGTTTGTTTGCTACAGGGAGCTGTGGGGCATAATGATGACGATGTTAAGATCAAAATATTAATAAAATAAACTTGGAACACCTAAAAAGTTTTAAAAAATTTGACATCAAGTTTTCTAGTAAATTTGAGGATAGGTTGTAAATAGGAGATGGTTGTGAAGATTATAGAGTTGTTTCAAGATAGTAGTCATTTCTAGCTGGTAAAGTGAATCAGTGATTGAATTTTGTTTTGTTTCAGCCATGAAGTGGTACAAGTAGGTTTATTCTTTATGTTAGTTTAATGCAGTTAGCATCATTTGTAAACATATAATTTACCAAAGAATTTAAGCTTGTAAAATGAAAAGGAGGAAATAAACTAAATTATTACCATTATGTGGAAATATTAAATGTTGGATTTTCCATTTCCAACATTTTCTGCACCTGCAGATTTTCTGGCCTTTTCTTTCCACATTATTATTTCATAAGTGTCAGTAATTTCCTCTTTGTTTGGTGTGAAACAACGTACCTTTGTTTCCATTAGTATAACAAATACATTAACATCAGGTTTGTTTTTGTCTGTTGGAAGAGGTGATGGCTTTTTTTGCAGCAGGCGATGGAGTCTTTCATGTGGCTTGAACCATTTTTCATCCTGACATACTTCTGTTTATGTTTCTTGTTTGTGATGGAAGGGATTTTGCCAGTTTTTTCCCACACACCTTTGCCTAATCTTATACTCTTACTCTCTTGATTCCACCTCAGTCTTTTTTGTGATTTCAGGACTGGGTTTCTCAGGTATATTTTTTACTTCCTATTCCTGATATACAAGTCCATTTTCAATTACTTGTACCACTGCTTTGGGGCATACATGCCTTATCCCCTTTCCTTTGTTATCTCATATGACTAAGTATGACTTCATGCTGTATTGCTTTTCTTTCTTCCTAAACTCTGAAGTCCTTTCTTATTTTCTGTCTTTTGTTCATCTTTCTTAAGCTTATGTTTTCCTACCTTTGTCTTACACTCTCTACCCTTTTGCATTATTTTTCCTCCTTTAACCTTCTTTCCATTGTAATCCACCATTCCCCTGTGGGGTTTTTGGTGGATGCTCATTCACTTATCTTTTCTACAGTGGCATGTTTACCATTCTCAGCCTTTTAACTTCATATTTGTTTGACCTGTTGCTAGAGTTGGTTGGGGTGTGATGCCCTTGTTAACTCAATTGCTTTTGCCTTCCTTTTATTTCATATGCCTTCATCTGACTCCTTTCATCTGCCTGTATGATTTTTTCTGGTGTACTTGTATCTCTGGTGTCATATTTTGGAGCCAAATGCCAATGTCATTTCTTATCCTCACTGGTTTACCATCTCTCCCGTGCTCCTTCTTTCCATCTCTGTGTCCTGTCCTATTGCTTCCTCTTCTCTCTCTCTCTGTTACTATTTCCCATTCCTCTGTTCCCAACAGTCCTTCCACTGCTCATAGACTTTGGTGTTGTCATTCTTGGTGGTGACTGTCCTATAGGCTTAGGGTTGGTAAGGCTTGTTTTGTTTATGGACTTTTGCCCTCCATTTGAGGCTAATTGTTGGGTGCTGAGAGCCTTAACCTTCATTTTTCCTCTCTTTCTTCATTGTTTCCTGTTCCCATTACTGTTCCTCTTCCAAGTGATCTTGTTTCTTGCCGACTTCAGTCCATGGTAATGTTGTTCCTAATGGCTAAAGTTTCTATTAAATGGGTTTCTTATCCTTTTCCAGGGTTTTATTCCCACCTTTTTGGGGTTCCCAGGAAAGCTGTAGATAGGTGCCTAATCTTACATCTTTCATGTCTCAGTCAGTTTCTTGTCTCCCTCAATTTCCCATGGAAACTTTCTCAACCTACAGTGATCTTTTGCCCCAGGTCTTGAGATGACTGAGGTGGACGTCTTGGATTCCTATTTTCTCATTTGGCTCCACTCCAAAAAGCCACCTGTAGCCATTTTCTTCTCTTTTGGGAAGCAGTGCACCTGGGTTGGCTGGTCAACTTGGAGGAGTCAAATCTTACACACATTTAGTTTCTCATTCATTTGGGTATTTTGGGCCCAGCCTTCTTCTTTTCTTTTGAGCAATTAGTTTCTTATGCCATATCTTCTCACTATGTGAAAGTTTCTTTTTGGGGGACTTGGGTTTCCATGGAATCCCATGTCCTCTTGGGTCATACTTATTTGTGATGTCTACAATGGATTTTGCATGATCACTGGATGCTTGCTTGATATCCCTTGTCCTCAACCATTCTCCTTCTGCTTTTCTTATTCAAAGACTTCACCTGGTGACTTGATAAAACTACTCCCATAGTGGGTGTTCCTCTTCCGTCCTTTCATTTGGGTCTCCCTCTGTTTCCATATGCCTCCTTGATGAGATGGAGAAGCATGTCTGGACTCTCACATGAATTTGAGTCAGTGGAACCATGAAATATTGTCCCTTTATATCCATCTCTTAGAACTTTTGGCAGTATGTAGAATTTTAGATTGTTCATAGATAAATCTAATGATGACACATATAGTCAACTCTGCAATTGTCTTCTATATAACTTACCAGAAGACAATCTATCTTGCTCTCTCTGTTTCCACACTACTGAGCTCCTTTTCTAGGCCTATTCTTTAGAAGTATGTTTATTCACTTCTATTCTGAGTGCTCTGAATTTTGTTGCAGATCATCTCTCAAGGTCTGTCAAGATACTTCCTTTGAATTTATCCCTTGATCCTATGGTGTTTAAGTGACTTTGCTCTCATCTGGGCGCATTTCTTCTCAATGTCTTTGCCACTCATTTCAACACCGTACATCCTCTTTTCTGGTCCTCAGTTCATCTTCACTCAGCTTTAGCTGAGGATGCATTCAGGATGAATCTTCCTGATAACCACACACTAGCCAGCCATGGTTTCCTCTATTGCACCTTCTCCTGCCCCTTCCTCCTATTTCTCTACCTGATACCTTCCCTACTTTTTAAACCTCACTGATCTCTTTCCCACGTGTGGATTTTATCTGATCCCTTGCCAGACATTCCAGACTCTCTTCACATGTAACCTCCCTTCTTTCTTGTTCAGCTCATTTTTTCCTCTTTCTTTGTATATCCACAACAAAGGCACACATTCTGTAGTTTGTCTCTACATCATGCTTTTTTCCTCTTCCATCCTTCTATCCTCCATCTTTCCAAATTTTTTATTGACTATTTGACCAAGACTTATTTCCTTCGACCATGGCTGGTTACCAAGCAGCTCTACCTAATACTTTTTGGGTTTTCCCATTATTGTCATGTATTCTCTTATGTTCTTTCTTTGCATTTTTGTTCTTTTTTGCTACCTTCATTCTCCTCGTCTTGCAGTCCTCCGTACTTGGAACTCCACATCCTTATCCTTCCTCACTTTGAACCTTTAGTTTCTTGTCTTTGTACCATCTTTTGCTTGGGTCCTATTTCTTACTTTTTGCATGTGACAGTAGGAGATATGATGTGTATGCCATTGCTGTTTCCCATATTTTTCCTTCCAGTTCTCACTGTTAATCTTGTTCTCTTCTGAATCGTATTTTCTGTCCCATCTATGTGGTTTGTTACTTGTTGGTCCATTGAGGCTGTCCCATCATTTTCTTAAAAATAACTCAAATCCAGCCCTGATAATTTAAATATTTATCAAACCATCCTTTAAACTCCAGTAAACTTAACTCATCATTCACATCTGAAGGTAACCCATTCCAAAGGTCAACCATCCTGTTCATATTTTTGTCCCCTGGTCCTATGATTCTCATCATTAAATATGAAAAATAGTTGATATATCAACACTATTAATTCCCTTAAACATTTTAATCAGATCCTTCTAACTCTTCTTTTAAGAAAATATTATTTTAGAGATCTTAACTTGTCCTCATATGACAACCTTTCTATCTTGGGTATCATCTTGTATTCCACCTTTTAACTGTTTCCAACAATTCATTGCCATTATTAAAGTAAAGAGCCAAAGACCGAACACAATATTGCAATGAGACTTAACCAGTGATCTACACAATGAAATGATAACTTCTTTTAGAGTTACATTCAATATTTCAGTAAATACAATCCCAAATCCTATTTGCCCTACCATTAGCAGTCTATTTGATGACTTATGCTTTTTTAAAAGATGTTGTGTTTCTTAATAGATTTCTCCAGTTTCTTAGGACCAACTGATGATAGGCATCTTGCATTGAGTGCCATAACCTGGCTTGTAGTTCATACCATAGTGCCAGTTCTGCTTACCAGAAATGGCCCACTGAGCATTCACTTACTGATGCCCAGACTTTAGTTATGCAAGCCAGACTTCTCACACATTTTTAAAGTTTGATAGTAATTTGAGATTGTTTTTGCCTCGAGGTTTTTAATGCAATTCAATTAACTAGCTGTGTTCTTCATTGACCCATGAGCCAAGTCATCAACTACTTAGACTCCCACTGCTGATTAAAGTTAATTTGCTTTGACTGATAAAGACTAAGATGATTGCTTAGAAGACAGTAGTATTCACTTAACCACACTAAATTATTTCCACTCACTTTAACAATGCAGGATCACTTGCTTTGAAAATATCAAACAAAAACACAAGACTTGTATTACTGACAACCAAGTTTGTTTAATAGTTTTTGTAATAATTACTAAAAATCATAACTTGTTAGTACCATTACAATTTTACTCTGATAAAGTTCATAATTAATTGACCTTTTATTTGTTGATTTGTGATTTATAACTGCCTGGTATGTTTTAGGTTATACTATTCCTGGTAAATGATAAGCAAATTTCAACTGTTTGGTTGTCAAGTAGGTAAAAACAACTGAACAGGTTGAGTACTGAATACTTACAGAACATACATTAAACCTAATGAATCAGTTCAGTCTAATTTGAACATGAATAATTATAAAAATGTTCTTGTTTACTAGTATTATTGTCCACAAACTTGATAGCAAAATAGCAATTTATCAAGGATGGATGTGTCAGTGTGTAGAAGACAAATCAAAATACTTTAACCATTGTATTTGATTAGAAATTCTGGGTTAGAGTAACTGAAAGGTAGGATGTGAACTCATAAAATAGTATTTTCATTAACAACTTTTTTTTTGTGGGATAAAAGAACATCACTTTTTTTCCAGGACGTTTTACATTCACACTCCCCTCAACTACTTCCTCATGACCCCCTATCCTTGGAAATATCTGCTATTGTAGAAAAGTAAGTTGTTGTATATTATTACTGCAAAATTTTATATAGTTTACTTTTAAGCACTTAGATTTATAATACTTCTTTTGATATTTTTTTGTTTTCATAGATAATTATATGACCACAAATCTTTTCCATTTGTTATCATATCAGTTTCTCCAAGTAAAACTTTTTTGTTTACTTGAAATTAATGACCTGAAAGATATTTTCTGACAAATAGTATATTGATAGTCATATTTGTATTTTTGTTTGGTTTCAGCTATGTCATGGGGTACGTTCATCAGAAGTTGTTCAGCATTGTACAACGGAAATTTGCTGATGATGACAAGTATTTATCAGAGAAACTGACAGAATTGTATAGGATGGAATTGACAGCTGATCAGTTGGGAGTAAAGGAACGTTTTTGTTGTCAGTTACCTAGAGCTGTAAGTAAATTAATGATCCTGTTTCATGTCACGTATAGGAAGTAACTGACAACTGGTGCTTTAGAAGTGTAAAATAATTTCAGTTATCAGTTACATAAAGCTATAACTAAATGAACAGTCTTACTTTGCAATAGTTAATATTATTCAACTTCTAAAGGATACTATGAGAAAATGACTCATGTTTTACTAAAACTTTTGCTAATGCTATTGTATCTGAAAACAAATTTTGAGGTACTGTAAGCAGCATTGGCTTAAGTAGACCTTTTTTTCATAAAGGAACATGATTCTGTTTTGTTTCCATTGAAATACAGAAAGTGGAATTGGCATCATTAGATGGAAAAACAACTCCTGCAGAAAAACTTCACTGTCTGAAAACTACACTGGTAGGTTTAAAATATTTTAAGAGGAAAATATTTATTTATTTCATTTTTTTTTATCTAAGTAAGGAAGTTGTCCAGGAGCAGTCATACTGATGTTTTAACTGATCAAAGATAACTTTAAGACCCTTGGTCATGAAAAGCCAACCCCTCTAGGCATTGTGCCAAATTTTGAAATTTTATGTTCCAGAAGGCACTGATTGGTAGAAATAAACTACTTGACTCTACTATTCAGAATCTTTTTTCAGATTTGAAATCCATGAAGTATTTAAAAAGAATCAGCTATATGTAAATTTTGTTGTTCATGAAGACTATGTTAATCTGTTTGCATATCTAAATCAATAACTGAGACAGAAGATACAGTAATTTCTTCCAGCAAATATGAATGTTTAGCTTCATTTACTATGTCTTCAGAAATTGTACTATCACTATCAATCAATACCCTCATTTTAGCTGGAGATAAAGAAAAGAATGCCTTTATCTTGGAAATGGTGACACAAAATCTATCTTGCCAATTTCCTAGGACTGAATTCATCAGAAGCTAATGAGTTTTATCGGCAGACACTTTCTGACTTTTGTTTCTTTTTCCCCATTTCGTATAACTCAATTAATATATATATATTTTTAATTATAATAAATAATTAAAAGCAACATTTTATATTTACACAATAAAAACTTTATTGAAGCCGTATGGCTTCCACTTTAAAATATCTCTCTACAAGTACATGTTTCGACATGATCTACGTCATCCTCAGAAGTAACTTACAAGACTATTTTATACTTTCCCCCTTGTCGCATTACTTCATTGTTATTTACATATTTCCATTAATATAAAAAATTATAATATGTCTTGCCATATATCAATGTATTGAATTACTGGTCCTTCATCTCTATTTAATACTTGTTTTTGTGTTTTATATTTCATTATTTCTAATGTTTCTCTAATATTTAATGATATAAAACTTTGAGGCTGAGCTAAAACTAAAGTTTTTTCCCATAATATTCTATGTTGGGTAGTTTTTACATGTTCGGCTATAGCTGACATTTCTGTTTTATTATTTCTTATGTAACTATTGTGTTCTTGCAATCTATATTTTAAATTTCTTTTAGTTTGACCAATATAAACACTACCATTCATATTCTATCTTGTATATACCTGTCTTATCTGTTAATGCTATTCTGTCTTTAGCATTCCTTATCATATCTTTTACCTTATTTATTGGTTTGAAGATAGGGTGAAAATTCTGACACTTTTGAATACTTTATATAATTGACTTGTTAAACCTGGAACGTAAGGTACTCTTAGTTTCTTTTTTGTTTTTTCATAAGCAGTTTTTGATGTGGTATTTTTAACTAAATTTGCATTTTTGTTAAACTTCTCAAATGCTTTGTCTACTATATTTGGATCAAATCCTCTATCATTAGCTATATACTTAATTAATAACAATTCGTTATTTAAATCATCCTGTTTTGAACATATTTTTATAGCTCTATAGACGTATGTATAAAATGCTAATATTTTTTGTGTTTTTATATGACATGATTCTTTGTGTGGCGGCATAACAACAGCAAAAGGTTTTCTATAAACAGATGTTTCTAAGTTACCTTCTTCCTTCCTAACTAATATGTCTAAGAAATTAATGCTATTATTATCTTCAATTTCACACGTGAATTGAATTGCTGGTTCTTTACTATTTAAATAACTAAAAAATTCTTGTAGTTTGCTATTGCCATGTCGCCACACCACAAATGTGTCATCTACATATCTTATCCAAACTTCTGGCTTACATTTAGCATTATTTACAGCTTCATTTTCAAAACTATGCATATAAAAGTCACATAACACCAGCGACAAGGGGGATCCCATAGATAAACCCTCTTTATGTTTATAATAATTTTGATTAACTTGGAAAAATGGATTATCTACACACACTTGTTAATTTCAATATATATCTATAATTTCAACTGTTGGTACTCTGTTTTCTATTAATTTGTTCTCAAAACATCTAATCGCATCATCTAATGAAACATAAAGCCTGTTACTTTAATAAATTTAGTTTTTTTGCATTATGATCTTTAATATCTTGGAAAATTACATTAGCAAATAGTATTTATAAGTGATTACAATATTTACATTTGTTCCAGATTTGAACTTATTGCTTTTTATGTTTTAGTACATTATTTTAAAATCCCCCAAAATTTTTATTGTCCATAAAGTGCACATTTTATCTATTTTTAATTTTTTTAATAACCACGTACTCTCCTTATGGTTTCAAGTAACATATAAAACCCGAAAATAATATTTGTAAATAAGCCTAAACAATAAATGAGTATTTTTATTTTTAACTAGGATTTCATGTTTATATATATGTACATGAAAAACATTTTAATTTTGTTTCATAAATGTATTTTTATTTCAAGTTTATGTTTCATTGCAGCCATACTTTTGTTTATTGTGCCGAATAAATAGTGAGGTTAGCAGCGTGAACTTTGTATATTTGCTGTAAACTATCATGCCTATTGGTGGTCACTCTGATTCAGTCCAGCACAGGCACATTTCAACATTACTGTAGATATGATAGTAAGAAAGCTTTTTGGTACTTGAATATCATTTCCTTGAATTAAAAAATTAACTCAAAATAGATATATTTTTTCAGAAAGAAGTTGATCAACGATTATTAGGGTTAAGAGCTATAGAGTGGCGAGTGCAAGATCTTTACATTAATTAGACCTGGTTGTGAAACAGACTAAATACATTTGTCTCAATAATACAGGGAAGCTATGACATTCTCACAGTTGGTATCTCAATAGACTGAAGAGCTTAAGTTTCGAATTCCAACATAAATCTTGCCTATAATGAGAGGAATGTGACCAGGACTAATCTTTTAAGTGCTGTAAAGTAATTTTCTTTGTAATTCATGGTGTCTATATCATTTGGTAATCTCTTCTAACAGGATGTATCAAGTAACTAGGGTTAGGCGGTGTTATTCAAACCACCTGTACTGTAAACTATTAGTATTACATACATTTGCTAGTAGTGGCAATTAGTTTTGTCTGTATAGTGAAACAACATACAAGGAGATATGTTGAAATAAACTTGTTTGAAAGTTCAAAGAAATGATATTCAAGTACCGAAAAGCTTTCTTACTATCATACCTACAGTAATGTTGAAATGTGCCTGTGCTGGACTGAATGAGAGTGACCACCAATAGGCATGATAGTTTATGGCAAATGTACAAAGTTCACGCTGCTAACCTCACTATTTATTTGGCACAATAAACAAAAGTATGGCTGCAATGAAACATAAACTTGAAATAAAAATACATTTATGAAACAAAATTAAAGTGTTTTTTATGTACATATATAAACATGAAATTCTAGTTAAAAATAGAAATACTCATTTATTGTATAGGTTTACTTACAAATATTATTTTTGGATCTTGTATATTACTTGAAACCATAAAGAGAGTATATGATTATTAAAAAAATTAAAAATAGATAAAATTTGCATTTTATGGATGATACAATTTTTTGGGGATTTCAAAAGTAGTAGGCATTCTGACTTTTAAATATATTACTAAATCTTGTATAATTGTGGTTCAATATCTAGAACAGTGTTCTAATTTAAGAGATGTTTAGATTCTCTCTCCTCTTCCCAAATGCAAAAATTAAGTAAATTAGATGTAGTCATAATGTAAATTAATTATGAGAAAATCTAAAAATGTATACTTGTATGTAAGTCTCCATCTATTTATTTAGTCTATTTTTCATGCTCGTACTTTTGATGCTGTAAGTAGATGATGTACTGGAGAAGTGCTACCCAACTTTTTAATTTCTTTTTCAACTGTTGAGTAAAGAACTTCTGAATTCTTGTTTCAGCTTTGTTTTATGTATTATCTTGTAAAGGTTTAATTTTGTTCTTTTATTTGCAATGGGGGTCACTTCTTCTCATACGTGGTCTCATCCTAGACTACTGCTACATCATCATTTGGAATTTTTGGGAGTGAAAACAGTGTGCTTTCAGCTGATATGTACTGGGTGTTGAATATTATTGACAATCATTACTAATTCAAAAGCTATGAGAAAATCAGATATGTTTCACAAGATATATCCTGACAGCATGGATGCTTACAAATTTACATTTAGGGAATGAAAGTCAACATATCTTACCAAGTTACCAACCTTTGTATCTCCCCATAAAATTTCTGATACTATCAAATGTACAGTTGGAAAATGACTATGGGTTGTTATTCAAGGAAAGCCTATATTCCCATGTGTAGCCAATACAACATGACCTATACATACACTTCTGGGAGGAAAACTGTGGGTCTTGGTTCTACACATCAGAATTTCTAGGGCATGCATCAGTTAGTGACTTGTGTGAAAAACTAAGGTATTTTGGTGACACCAGGGCATTTTGTGACCTTTAATAAATTGTCCCTGTGTAAATTGGAAAACATATAACACACTTGCCAGAGAAATAGAAGAGGAGACCAGCCACAAACTACGAAACATACATAGATGTGGCCTTGACATAATGTACAACACTTTTAGGTCTGGCAGTGCAAAATTACATTGGAACATATACTGGATTTCAAGTTCTCTGTATTGCCTGTCCAAGGACTCTCCAGCAGGCATGAAAACTTCACTAGCATCAGTGGATCTGTTGTTTTCCACAAACAATTTTACAAACACAGATGGATAGAGAAAGCTCTAGTAAAGTTTCCTCACCCAGTAAAACAGTTTTTGTGTTTTTAAAATAAGTTTTGTCTCCACTTTTTGGTGAAAGCTAACATCTTGTCGATCGCCAGAGATGTTTCACCCATTTCTGAGAGTTACCAAACTGACATGCTGCTGTTGCCTTTCGTATCCAATGATTTTTATTGGAACAGTAGTGGGCTTGATAACTTGTTTTTATAAAAGATGATATATTAAAATAGAAACTTCTGCTACAAAGGTACAAAAGATTGATGTGAATGACTAATCATACTATAAGGACATCTCTAGAGTTGACATTGGCTTTGTTGCTGAGAAACAACTTAAGAACCTTAAATCAGTCAAAAATATTTCAGATAAAGATATATTTTTTGTTTGTGCAGTTACAGATTTGCTTGAAATCATCTACTCATTATGATCTTGTTTAGAATCTTTGGTGGAACTTCAGAAAATCACCACAGAACCTGGACTTTGTTTTGAACAGCTAAAATGGTTATTAGAGACTCTGAATGAAACCAAACAAATAAAGGAAAACAAGTGTAATGATATTGTTTGGCAGTTCAAAGAATGCCATTTGCAGTGCCACCAACCCAGACTTTTAGAAACATCATGACTTGATACTTTCTTTTGTTCATTCATGGCCAACAAGGAGAAGTTGTCAAGCGTGAGGTTTGGGCCTAAAATTTTTATTTGTCTCATTGGCAGGCACCTGTTGAAAAGAGAGTTTCCTATTGTTGGAATTTCAGCTGAGCATAAATTGTAAGGAGTGATTTCAACCCATTTGAAGAATTTTATGAAATTAATAATTTTACAATGTTCAAATAATTATTCATTTCAGCTGTTTCTACTAGACAAAAGTATCATGCATATCTAAATGAGGAGGTAAGAAAGAAAAAAAGAACAGAAAAAAAAGTGAGAAAGAAAGGCTGTTGTGAGTAAAGTAGATGCTCTGAATTAGAAACAAAAAAGAATAGAGATAAATGTAGCAGCACTTCTGAAATCAGTGGATGATTATATGAAAAAATCTGAGACCAGAGAACAGGTATCTTTTATTTCAAAACTTAATGCTCTGAGGTAGTCTGTGAAAGAGAAGCAACTAGAGTTTAAATCTGTTGAATAAAAGCTAACTGCAAGAAGTGGAAAATTTATGTTCATTGAACAATTAAAGCAGTGTATCTAGAAATTATAAATAGTGTATACATACCATGTATAAAATTGGTTTTTACTTGTAAGTATGTTATTTAACATAAAGTTTTCTTTTATATTAATTAATAAAATTCTTGATGGTGATATATTTCTTATAAAAGATAGAAAATTACTAAATTTAACTTTACTCTGATGTCATGTGATCATTTTCAACGCAATAGTTTATCTGTGAATGGAATATATTCTCTGTCTTTCATTGTGATATTCCATGGAGGTGAATTTTCAAATTCAGATCACTCCCAAATTTCCTGGTTGGCCTTGTTGTTATTAAAGGATTTATTTAATCCTTGTTTGGAAATCAGGTTTACCTATAAATATCACAAGAAGATTGGAAGGAGAATTTTTGGTACTGTTAAAACAGACATTTTTGCAGAGGTTTTGTTTTGGTAATACCCATACTAGCCTTGATCTTTTGTGTTTAATAAGTTTAAAGTAATGCTTCTGAACTGAGGATGGCATATTCACAAAACAGAAGTACTTATGGCTAAGAGTGAGAGATTGTTGTTGGAGTTTCAGGAAAGAAGTGTCATGGAGAAACCTTCTCCTGGACATAGTATTCTCACCCATGATGCTGAGGTCCATGATGTCAGTCAGGATGCAACCAGCCATAACCTTGGGGATTTGTTCATGTCTGGAGCACTCAGGCCACTGGAGCATAGTTTATCCCTGAGAATTGATCTTGATTCAAGAGAAGTTCAGATGAATTCAAATTCCATGACGAGGAACCCACTTTGAGACTAATAATGGCTGGAGACGGCTTGAATGGGTAATGAAGAAAAACTTTAATATAAGTTTAACATAACAGCAAATGTACAACATTTCAACAAGGTTCTGTCAGATGACTTAGGAATGTTGAAGTGAAATGGTGTTTGCCAAGGCCAAGACAACAAAAGGAGGTCTCTACAGAATTCCTAGGCTGTTGCACATCAGATCACCATAATCTCAGCTGTGGTCCAGACTGCAGATGACCAGTAGAGAAAGGCTGAATATGTCATTGGGGTGATCTTCATATTTCTGTCAGTTGAGAGTTATTTCCATGCAACCTTGACAACAGTTCATGATACCTTGGGTAGTGCAGAGCTTTCAACTAGCCACTCTGAGTAGCACATTTTTCTGTCACCAAGGGAAAATGTCTCATCTAGAGGTCAGAGCTCCTGTTAGCAGCTTCTTTCTGGAGCTGATAATATCAGTGGAACCTCCACCTGGCATTAGTTGGGATCCCATAAATAAGTCTTTGGCCAGCTGCACAAGTTTCTCTGAGTGAAACCTAACAGATCAGAACCCCAGTGTTCAAGGGGATGGCATAAGAGGACTTGGAAGATATATCAGGGTTCGGTATTGATTTTAGATGGGTGTGACACCTTTTCCTTTCCAAGAATAGATGAGTACCTGAATGCATTAGAAGAGCACCAGGATCTGGCATTTAGATATTGGCAAGTTAAGTTATTGAAATTGTTTTGTAACAGTAGTTTTGCCTTTTCATAGCAGAGTTATTTCAAAGTAACTTAACTGTTTTCAACAACAACAAAGAAAGATTCTCTTTATGTTTATTTACTGTAGGAATTGATATCAGAAGAAGTGAAGCAGCTAGTTCAAGAAATTCCACCTTTGTGCCCTTTCTCTCAGCTACAAGGTAGAATTTTATAAACACTATTCCTTGACTGTAAGTTTTAAACATGCATCAATTCAAGTACATAGAGCACTAAATCACATGTATTTCAACCAAGTAACCAGCTATACCTGATTTACATTAGTTCTGTGGGAATATTAATGTTATTAGCTAACAGTTGACATTTTGATTTCTATGAAATTTTTTTTATCGTCAAAATATAATTTTTAAAGTTTCAAATCATGCTATTTTATTTTTAAATCTTTTTCCTAAAGTTTAAATAAATATATTTCTTTTGTCATAACATAAAGTAATTCCATGCTTTTCTTATTCAGTGTTCATGTCTTGCTTTAAATTTAATTTTGCTACTTTTATAAGTCTTTTCCTAAAAGTTGATGTGTTGTTTTTGGTCACAGTGTTGGTGCAGTTAAGATGGGTATTGTTTTATTTTCAGAAGCCTCTGTCCTGACATCTGATGATTTGATACCTCTTCTAGTCACATTGTTGGTTCAGGTTCGACCTCGAATGCTTGAAAGTAATCTCTATTACATCCAGAACTTTCACTGGCATCTTTCACCCAAAGATAAGTTAAGGTAAAAAATAAGACTTTGTTGGTGTAAAGTTACAAAGATTAATCTGTTCTGTTACAATTACTTCCTTTGTTCCTGAACATTATAGTTCACATTTCTCTATCAGTGAAAACTCTGAAAGAGTCTTACCAAAAAAGTTTAATAAGAGCTGTCCCTTTATTAGCACAAGAATATTATTTTAGCTTTTCTTATTGGTCAGTGTGGCTAGCTGCAAAAACCATTAAGTTTTAGTGAATGTCAAGGACTAATGGCATTTTTTTGGCCAGTTGATAATCCAATTATATGTCTGTGAATATCCATACCAGTTGTAAACAGTGGTCAAAATTTATTTTTAAAAAAAGCTGGCTTTTTATGGGGAAAACTGCAGTATGATAATCATTCAATAAGCTTTCTTCAGTAGCTTGTTGTGTATTTTTCAATGGAACAACCCAAGTTCAAGATAGAAAGTAGAAACAGTGCATTCAAGTGGCATTTTAGTTTTTTTTAAATATCTTTTTTTCCAATTCATTTTAAGAAATTGTTATTATTATTATAAATGTATCTAAAATTTGGTAGTGTATAAAAATGTATAAAATTAAAAACACAGTTCTGACATATATATGCTAAGTGGCCACGACTTGTGACTCTCCTTTTCTTTTTCGCAAGTAACTTAACTTTATTAGCAAACTTTTGCCTGTGAACAAACAAAATTTCAAGGGCTGTAGACTTTAATGTAATCAAACTTGAATTTAATTAAAAATAATAGATTTGTGCAAACTAAACAGCTTCATTTCAATAATTTTCAGATTCAGTCATGTACAAACCTATGAAATTTTATCTCTTTACAAAACAATATACAGAAAATCTCACTAGATTATTGTGTGTAACATTAATTTACATTATTCTGTAAAGAAGTATTCTTAGTATGAGAAAACTTCCTCCTCTTTTAACCCAGAACCATTCAAAGATCATTTGAATAAAAAAGGTTGCAGTGCATGTGAGATCTATATACAAAAGCTTGTCTGAATATAACTACCATCGAAAACTTGAATGCAGTGAGGTTAAAGTAAAATATAATTTTGTTGAACTTGGTAATATTGACGAATATTTTATGCTTTAAATAACTGTTGTATTCAATGCAATTTTTAGCAAAACAGGTATTAAATATTTATTTTATTCACTTTCCACTTGTTGCTTCTTTGTATATAAAGTATTAATTTTTTCTGTTACAGCTATAGTCTAGTCACTTTCCAGGCAGCAAAAGAATATGTTAAATCAACTGACTTTACATTTTTGCAGCCATCAAGAAACAAAATGAAGAAAGAGGTAAGATCAAATGAATTTCTACTAATGATAATTATTTTAAATGTATTCTGACCTGATACCCTGAAGTACCAGAAAATGTTAATAAAATGGTGTTTTATATAATAATATATTTACAACAGACTCAGAATTTATGCAGTATTAATCAGTTGGGAACCATTTTCTGTCAAGTACTTGTAAAATGTTAAATTATGATTAATGTTATCATAATTAATTTTGTCACTAAATATGATGAAAATATGACTTAGAGTTTTTATCTTGTGGTAATTAGGATTTCCCACATTGATAAGATCCTGTATGAGCTACCATGATTGTTAAAAATCTACATAAAAAAGCATACAAATCTGTGTCTATCTGTTTGTCTTCTGTCCATTATCTAACTATTCCTAGGTCACTGGGCCAATCTCAACCAAACTTTGTGGGATAATAGTTTGGAACAAGGGGCATGTTAATGGGGGGAGGGGGTTCACCCCCCCCCCCCCACCCTCCCCATTGCTGCTGATATTAAGCATTTATCATCTTTTATGTAAGCTAACTTTAACTAAATACTTAGATTGCACCACGTCCTTACAATGAAAAAAATAATTTCTATAACAGAACATACAGTGTGGGGGAGGGCACACAAACATCTTATATATATATCAGAGAATGCTCTAGCTCTCTGTGGAGGAATGCATTGAAAAAAGTGGCTGCCACTATTGCAATAATACATAAACTCAGCTGATGTTTCTACTCAGCTACCATAAGTCTGATATGAAGAGCCATTTTTTGAGTTAGTTCAACTTCCTACTTTCATAACCTTTCAACTTTGGCCTGTAAGAAATTTCTGTGGGTAATGACCATCTATCTATTAATCATGTAAAACACTGTGGAAGGACATTAAAAGCTGGATGTTGAAAGCAGGTAACAGAAAGCATCCCTACTAGCATTACTTTAGCTGCTATCTCTTCCTACAAAGTCACCCTGACCCTTGCACATTATATACCATGTTGAGTTCTTAGAGCTTGTACAAAACTTTTGGTGAGGTAATAATAAATACTTTAATAATATGTTATAAATAAATTGTGTGAAAGTTGTGAAGATTGTGTTATTTATCATAGCATCCACCCACCAATTTTTTTAAGTTCATAACCCAGAAACCTCAGCTTGTCTTTAATAGAGTATTAATTTTTTGTGGAGCAAAGTTATTATGGAATTCGAAAAAGTGTTGCTAAGAAAGAATGAATTGATGATGGAAATTAATTTCTTATAAAAGAAATTTAAAATTGTTTTTTCAAGATGTCCTTGGAAGAACTCATGGAAGTCACTGTGGAACTCCAGAAAAATTCTTCTAAGAAAGAAGTAGAGAATGATGGTAGGGTACGAGCTCCAAAGCCCTTTGATAAGCAGCTTGAAAAGATTACAAAAATGATTGAAGCTTCAACACAGGAGCACAGAGATAGAGAAAACCAGGGTAAACTTTTGATGAGTCTGTGACCTAATAGTTTTTAAGAGACTATTTTTGAATACAGCCTTTGCTATGATAGTTTGATTCTTATGAAATTTTAGTAAAGTACTAGTAGAAAATTGATATTTAATGAAATAGTATAAAATGCCTAATCTTATGAAGCAATAAGGCTTGTTAAAAGAAGTCAAAATCACATTTTGCTCCTGATGTTTTCCTAACATCTTTCATTACTGATCCACAATGATGTAAAAAGATAGCATTTCAAATCTGTCTTTTGTTTACCATGAGTCTGTATGGCTAATTAAGAGACAAAAGAATAAGATCTCTATGCTGATTTGAATCCATAGTTAAGTGTGTTGTGCATGAGAGTATATTTATGTAATTTATTGACATACCATTGTCAACATAAATGCTTTTTTGAATAAAAATAAATCTTAATTAATATCTACTGTGATTACAAATTAAAGTCAGAATCATCAAATGAACAAATGCTAGTAACTTGACATAGTTGAAACATCAGTGTGTCATCAAAAATTTGTCACACTCACAAATGCCACTCTCCTTTAAAGTTACGCTCTGAAGTGGCTTAACCCTCTGAAAAATGGAAACCACATGCACAAATAATAGACATGATTAAAAGAAGAAGATTACTCGGAAGACAATACATGAATACAGGAGATCCAAATATTAAAAAAGAAATTAATTTCATAAGAAATGAAATTAAACAGTTAAAACAAGATAGCTGGGACAGTTATTGTTCCAAGATAAATGAATATACTCACTCTAAGAAATTTTGTACACATTTAAAAAGATTCATAAATATCCGACACTAAACTACAATAACAAAATAATCTACACAAATAAACAAAAAACAGAAGCTTTCAAAGACCAATTAAAGAAAACCTTTAAATCTCTGAACACGGTGTCGGTCAATTTGACCGAGTCACGTGACCTGTTGTACTTGTTTAAAGTTTATATAAATTTAATACTTAAAGCTCTATATATGTTGGGTATACCTTCAAGAAATTTGTCAGTCTTTAAGTTAATATTACAAGTCTTTCACATATAGAAAGTATCTCTTAGTGAAGTATCTTTAATAAAATAAAATAAAGAATTGTCCATGAATATATTGAGTATTTGTTTTGAATAGTCTGTGTGCAAAGTAATTTTCATGTTAACATTAAAAATACTTTTCATCATCTGAAAAATCTCAGATTTCTTTTGTGTAATCCCTAAAACCTCCTAAATGCATTTCAATCGTTTTTTTTCACTAAATCCTTATAGTTTATGTTATTTTCTCTACCCTATCTCGAAATGGGATTGGTCAATTTGACCGACCTCGTAACCACCCAAAAAAATTGAAATAAACCTAAATTAACCTTCTTTTCTTTCTAGAATGACTTCAA